AAATAAAAAATGGTTGAGTGATTCAATACTTAATTCACGCATTTTAGAAGGAAGAAAGGTAAATACCAAGGGCAAGAATGTTACCAATGCTCTTATGATAAAGAAAATGTATTAAAACATCTTTTTCTTTAAGGTACTATTTCTATTCTTTACTATTTAGACTTTCCTTTCTTAACCCATAGAAATATATCCGTTGTCTAATTTTAAGTTTTCAAAACTGGCTCTGTGAGATCATGCCTGTCTTGTCCTTTAAATTCCCTCCCTCAGGACTTCACTGAACTATGTTGCTAAAGTGCTTACATTCCCCCAGTGTGGCCTGATGTGTCAGTCAAATGCTCTAAATAGATTTGATTGCAGGTTTGGAAAGGCTTCTTTGTTCCACTGTATTTAAAGATGCTGATGGTAAATGTTTTCATTTTTCCTTCTGCTCTCTTGTCGTTTTATCTTTGGCTTGTTAGTCCATGCAACAACTTTTGGTTCTATAATTCCTCCACATCTGAGAAGGACTTAAAGAATTCATAATAATGAGCCCAACAACAACAAAAAAAAACAATAAATTCTCATAGGCACTGACCCTATGCCATCCTAAAGAATTCCTATTGCAAATGCAACATGACAAATGATATTTTAGTTTCGAGATTCAATTAAAACTGCTGCAGACATCTTAGAGGCTGTGTGTGTGTGGGTGGTCATAATACAAAAAAGTAATAACTACTCATGATAGCAAGGGAGAAAGAGCTGTGAAATTCACACAACTGCATTCATCCCCAAATATTTTTATATACGACAGTATAAACGCCGTCTTTACTTAACCCTAATTGTTTTTTCTCTTGGTTGTATCCTCCTGCAGTCCTCCTCTGTGCCCTTTTTCTTGCACCTCCAAATAAGATGTAGTAGAGTAATACAGGGAGAAGGGAAAACACCAAGCAGTATCCCTAAGCATAGAAAGCAAATTTCTAAACTGACTTTGTCCCAAAGACCTTAGTTTGTCCTTAAAGGCCTAACAAGTATATTTGCCTATTCTTGCGGGCAGTAAGTTATTTAACCTTTGGAGCTAAATGCTAGTTTGAAAATGGATTACTAAAATCCAAACTAAGCTTCTTAATCTCCCTTCTTGTCCAACAAAGCAGCATGTAAGAAAATGTTTGGGAAAAAGAATCAGTTTTGGGAATTCTTTCTCTGGTAATCTTGGGAAGACAAGGGGATGGCAATGACCGTGGATGGCAGGCAGGGCAGATAACAAATCCAGGCTGCACACAGCTTTATAACTGTGAACATAAAGGCTAAAATAATATTTAATGTAGGATGGTCTCCCTAAGTTGTCTCCAGGTTCACAAAATCTCCTCAACGACCCATTTGCATATAACATTTCAGGGTTTACGTGCAGTAAAGAACTTTGGGGACAGACCGTTTGGAAATGTATCTTCACCACCAAGTCACCCCACCCTCATCCCTGTCCATCCTAGCAAATAGATATGGGCAGACCTTGGTGAGATACAAACAATATTTAATGTCAGACTACATAAAATCTCTACCCTGATTTAAGCCACAGGAACAAGACAAAGCCTCTATTCCCTCTTTGCTTCTCTGGATGGGATAGATGGAACAGACTGATACGTGTAC